AGCCTCTTATCACACTTAATAGGTCCACGTTCATCGATTGGGTCACCAGTAACATTCATGATACGACCAAGGGTTCCTACACCAACTGGTACTGAGATTGGGGACCCAGTATCGGTTGCGCGGTGACCACGGACTAAACCTTCGGTACCTATAAACGAGGTGAGTCAACCTTTGTGCTTGAATCCTTTAAGGTCGAGTTCTTTTACCATCCATAGCAATAGTTCTGACGACATTCTCTCCCAAATGTTGCTGTTATCCCTGTCAGTCCGTATTCGACGTTTGTTTATTCCTTGTATTGTTGACGTACTGCGACCTCAAGAATGAGTTTGTTACCACCGTTGGTGGTCTCGAGGGCGTTAAGAATGGGTGGAAGCTTCTCGGTATCGAATTTAACTGTTCAGATGTGGTCAGTATGCAGTTGCAGGGTATTGAAAGCTCGCCCCCATATAATCCCTAGATCCGGAGTTTGACGTCGTTGCCGAAAAAGAATTTTCCATGCCACTTACCATCAACGACGGCACCAATGACTTGATGGATCTTGCCATGTACTGCACTATCACTAGCAAATCTAGCAGAAGCAGCTCTTAAACCAGTTGACAAAGCTGGTCTAAAGGCGCTTCTGGAAGCCCGGAGGGCAGAGTTTTGGATGGCGCTATAGAAAGTTTAAAAGTCAGCTCAATTGGACTATTGCCACCCATTGCGATAAGGCAAAATATTTTCAAATATAAGTACGTACCTCCTGAACATCTTTACGGATGGAGAAGAGCGTTGAAGATGTGAGTGGAGATACAAAGATTGATGGAGGTATGGTATTGCAAAATGAGGAGGTAAATTGAAGCCAGCAGCAAAATGAGCTTCTCGACTAATTGTTAGCGTATACCCCCACGTGATGGCGTAAATTCCGACTTCCCGTTTTGACCCGAGTTGAGATCATCAACAACAACGTCGATATCAGAGAGACGAGACCAAATCTTGGAAATTCACACAATGTAATAAATGTATTACGGGATAGACAACTGTTCAATGCAAATGATAGCTACTTATTATTATTATTACAATTGTAGTATTATTTGGTTGAATTTACAAAGAATAATCACATATTTATTTTCCCACCAAGATTTCTTTTTTTGATTGGCGGGGGAGAAAATGAAAAAATCTATTTTTTTTTCTTCGCTGCAAAGGCTCGCTCACATAGCTAAAATAAATCTATCACCATAAAGAGGTAGGCATTGAAAAGCAGAATCCGCATACTTTTTCCGTCTCCTATCTCTCGGTCATATTCTAGGTTCATTTTACTCATTTCTTCGACCCGCGTGCCCGCCAAATTGCTATTTTATCTACCAATTTTTATAGCGTAGATTCAAGTGCCAACACCTGTATATAATTAGTCTCTTGAATCAGCTGTGTTAAGAGGGAAACTTACTATTGCTGTGCGGGTTGGAATGTATACTTGAATAAAGTTCTTTCTGTCGTTCCATGCAAAAGGTGTTGTGAAGAAGCGTGTTGAAGAATCAATTCTTTCGAATCCTCCAACGTCCTTGGTATCAGTGTTGAGAACAGCTTTGTAAGTACCCTCCTGTTCGACACCAACTCTGTAATCTACGAAACTTTGGGTTGGGTTGAAATTGAAAATCCATAACAAGCCAGCTCGCTCAAAGACAATGACCTTATCAGACTCATTCTTCAAACTAATATAAGCTTGATCACTGTGTAACCATCCATACTTTGCTTCAAGATGTTGCATATGGGAATCAAACTCGTTCAATGCTTTGTAACGGAGGAGATCATCATCTGGAAGGTTAAATTGACGACGAGCATACCAAAAGCTGTTGTTGTTGCCTTCACGAGGGAAGTCGAGCCATTCTGGATGACCGAATTCATTACCCTCGAAATTGAGATAGCCTTCACCTCCCAGACCGGATGTCAGGAGGCGAATCATCTTGTGTAATGCCATTCCACGCTCGATGATTGGCGTGAACTCTGTAAGTCTTGACATATTTGTATACATCTGTGCGTCACACAAGTGCATCATAATGGACTTATCTCCGACCAATGCTTGATCGTGACTCTCGCAGTATGCGATAGTCTTCTCACCATGACGTCTGTTCGTCAAAGTAAAGCAGATATTTCCGAGATCCCATTCGTCGTCGTTCTTCTCCTTGAGGATCTTGATCCACATATCAGGAATGGCCATAGCAAGTCTGTAATCAAACCCTACACCTCCGAGTGCTAAGGGTAAGCACAAAGCGGGCATTCCCGAAACATCTTCTGCAATAGATATCGATTCTGGATAAAGTTGGTGTAACATCTCATTGGCAATCATGAGGTAGACGACACCGTCCTCATCAACAGATGGACCAAAGTACTCATGGTAACCACCAGAGAATCCCGTTCCAATTCCATGATGGGTATAAAGCATGCTCGTAACACCGTCAAATCGAAATCCGTCAAAGTTGTATTCGTCCATCCAGAATCGTAAATTGCTGAGCAAGAATCTCAAGACTTCATGAGATCCATAGTTGAAAAGTCTACTATCCCACAATTCATGCTTTCCTTTAGGACCCTCGTGGAAATAGCAGCTGTCACTTCCGTCAAACTCATTGAGCCCATCCAATACATTTTTGGAAGCATGACTGTGAACTACGTCAAGCAGCACAGTGATACCAAGTCCATGTGCGGTATCTATGAGCTCTCTCAGCTCATCAGGTGTACCATATCGACTGCTTGCAGCAAAGAAACTGTTGATTTGATAACCGAAACTTGCATAATATGCATGCTCCATAATAGCCATAAGCTGAATGACATTGTAACCCAAATGATGTATTCTTGGTATCATGTTCTTTGTGAACTCCTTGTATGTGGAAACTCGCAGTTCTGGGGAAGAAATACCAACGTGTGCCTCATACACCCTAACACTCTCTGGCTTCTTTGGTCTGGGATGCTTGAAGACATATCGTTCGGACTCAGGTGGGTTCCAAAATCGAGCATCGTAAACTGGGGAGACGGAGAGATCTTGTGTGACATATTTGATCCATGCAGGAATTCGTTCAATTCGTTCGCCGGAAGGTGTAATCATAGAGATCTGGTGGGGTTAGCGGGGGTTAAATAAAGCAGTTAGCCAGAGCCGTTTACCTTGATCTTAGAATTATGTGCGATAGCTGGTTTGCCATCCTTTGCAGGTAGGACAATTTCAAAAACCCCATAAGGATCCTTCTTCATAGGGTAAGACTCGCGGTTCCAATCATCTATACGATGTTAATGTTCGACGTCCTAGGAGTTATGAAAGAGGGAGAGAAATACTAAAATCACCAATCAAGAATGCTTGTGTTGCATTCGGGGCCCATTCCCTATATGTAATGTTGTTCTTCTTATCGACGTTGAATCCAAACTTCTCAGTACCCTGATATGGTTAGTTATGACCAGGGAATTTACAGGAGCTTCACAAACTCTGCTAAATTTCTCAATACCACCTTCGGTATCGTCGATGGTTTTAATCCATTGCTGTGCTTTTGAAAATCTGTGTTTTAAAGAATCTCTGAATGGTTCAAGCCATGGATCGAGTTGGATAACACCTAAATTGGTCAATATTGCGAATCGCCTGGAGACCGTTGAACATACCAGTCCCGTCATTTGGGACTCCCTTTGGTGTTTCATTCTTCATAATTGAAGTAGTTGCCAGTTCATTTACATTAGCCATTCTTGCAGATAATGTTTTGGACAGATTGTATGAGGCTGGGGAATGGGAATTAGTATTTTATTGGGGAAAGTCGAGCTAGTAAATACCTACCTAGTTCCCAGTACTCTCCGGATTCGAGGAGCTATGATGATGGTGATGATGGGGGGGTATGATGGTATGTATGGTTGAGCTCTCTTCTAACCGCGCAAACAAAATAAGGGAGGGGCGCTTAACACACGATTCAACTTGAGATTGAGATGAATAGAAAAAGTTGATAGTGAAGATAGAAAAGAAAAGGAGTTATTCATTCAACTTATGATGTTTTCGTTTTGTAGAGAAATCTTGTGCATATTGCGGGGTCTTATTACTCTTTTTTTCTCGCCATTGTACGAGTAACAAGTGGCTATTGATATTTGATTTGCTTGCATTGATCTCCTATCCTCCCTACCTATCTAATAAGGATCTGCCAGTTCTTCTACTTTTGGATGAACTTGTTGAGAGAATTTAACCATTTCACCTCTTTTCCAGCCTGAACCCAAGCCCAACTAAACCTGGAAGTACTTTTATTACGAGCTTAGGTGGCCTACCTAGCAATACTAACGATAAAGCAGAGTGAAGCGAATTTGGAGTGAAGGGACTGACCTGACTGGACCTTGTTGTAAACGCCTGCAAGCCATCCTGCTCGTGCGTGTTTGGCATTAGTGACGTCGATCCCTGTCATATGAGAAAATCCACGAACGATTCTTTGAATTTGTATGAAGATTCTCGAAGAAATGGTAGTGATAAGTGATAAGTGATATAAGTGATAAGTAATAGAAGCTCTCGGGAACATGAAGTTATTTTAACCACCTACATTTATATCTGCCTAACTACCTAACCTTAGTAGGTTTTACACTAGAGACGAATAGGTATGAAACCAAAAATGCAAATGTCAAAAAGTGAAAAGTGAAAAGTTTATAAATAACCCTTTTTTCTTCTTTCTTCACTCATCCCTCACTCAAATCAGCATTCATTGTTTTCATCCCACTTCCCATTTTAGTCCGCACACCTCCAGATTTTTAACACTAGCTTGGACCAATGAGAAAACTCTCACCCCGCAACAAGATGCTCATAGCGTCGGTTACCGTAGTACCGCCGATATCGACATTTCATTGTCTCACGCAATATCTGATATTAATCATTCACGTGCATTGCTGTACAGCCTCAAAACGTTCAAATGATTTCTAGCATGTTATGATCAGAGTTGATAGATATTCTCGCACCTTAAATCCCCAAGCCCTTTACGGCCGTTTGTTGCTCAGATGAGAAAATACAATTCAACAACATGTCCCCGATATCGGGACTCAACCGGATCTCCCATTCCAATCCTCGAATCCTGAGAACTTGCCACCGGTCTCTCCATTTCTCATCCATAAGACATTATCGAAATGCACAATTCAGACGCTCTGATTATGATGGGCAAGGTTGGACTTCATCATATGAGCCAGGAGCTCCAACAAAAGGTCCCCTATCTCAAGCTTCTAAACACGGGGTTCCAAGTCTTACTCCTTTGTCATTGAAGAATCATTTGGATAAATTCGTTGTTGGACAAGATAGGGCCAAAAAAGTCACATGTGTGGCCATTTATAATCATTATCAGAGGGTTCGAGAGTTGAGAAGACAGGAAGCCGAGGAACAGGAAAGGAGGGATCAGTATAGTAGGAGGCATCTATATGAACGGGAGCGTAATAGTCATCCCGTTGACAGTAATTGTTTTCTTCCACTTCACGTGGAACGTCCAAATACTAACATACTACCAGATGAATACGTGGGTCACGCCATTCAAACAGCCGACCTGAATGCTTCGTACCGTGAACGCGAGTATGAAGAAGAACCCGAGCTAGGTTCCAGACCACTAGAAGACCCTTCTCAAAACCGTATTATCATTGAGAAATCAAATCTCATGTTATTAGGACCGTCCGGTGTCGGGAAAACCTACATACTACAGACTCTCGCCCGTGTTCTCGAAGTGCCCTTTGCAACAGTCGATTGTTCTTCCCTAACCCAGGCTGGCTACATTGGAACTGATATTGAATCATCTATTGAACGTTTACTCTTAGCTTCATCCAATTCCATCCAAAAGTGTGAAACGGGCATAATATTTTTCGATGAAATCGACAAATTAGCCAAACCGGCTGTTATGACCCATGGCCGTGACGTGTCAGGCGAAGGTGTCCAACAGGGTCTTCTCAAAATGATTGAAGGAACCACTGTCACTGTGAACACTAAATCTGATAAAAACGCTTCCAACTCAAACCGAAGCATGGATCGTGGAAGCCGAGAATCAAGCCCCCCTGCTAGAAGCGAACAATATACGATTGACACCTCAAATATCCTCTTCGTATTCGCCGGCGCCTTTATCGGGCTCGAGAAAATAATTTCGCAAAGACTTTCAACCGGTTCATCCATTGGGTTTAATTCTTCTCTCTCCTCTTCATCTTCGTCCTTCTTTTCCTCCAACCCATCAAAAGAAAAACAAAAGGATATCCTTGTCCATGCCACCCCCACCGACCTTCAAGCCTATGGCCTCATACCTGAACTTCTTGGCCGAATTCCAATAACCACGTCGCTCTCCCCTCTTTCCCTTCCCCAACTAGTATCCATCCTCACCGAGCCCCGCAATTCTTTGGTTAAACAGTATACAGCACTATTCGAAACCTACGGTTCCCACGGTATAATTCTTCAATTTACCAAATTAGCACTAGAAGCCATTGCTTCTCGAGCTCTCTACGGCTCATCTTCTCCTTCGTCTAAAGAAAACAAAGGTAAAGGAGAAAAAGGAACAGGCATCGGAGCAAGAGGTCTGCGTTCCATTATGGAAAGTGTCTTGCAGGAAATCATGTTTATAGGCCCCTCATCACCTAACATCCGTTATGTCCTTGTGGACGAAGCATTTGTCAAGGGACTCGAATCTACATCTACATCCCCGAGTATAGAAAACGAAGGAATAGATGGAACGGGTGAAACACGTCTCCCCCGCTGCTTTCCACGCAATCAGAGAAATATTTTCGAAGAAGCAATCGAGCTTGAAGAAGAGCTATGGAAACAGCGGAATGGAATTTCAGAGAAGCAGAAAGATGGAGAGGGGAAAGGAGGAGATGGTGATGGTGACAAGTCCATGGACAGTTTCCAGGAATATAGGGTTGTTGTTGAGGGCGGGATGTGAGATTTGAGATTTGAGATATGGAATGCAAAATGGAAGATGGGAAGCTCTCTTTCGGTTCTCCATCACATATCGCAGTTAATGTGTTGTCTCAAGATCTCAGAACAACTATTTCCCAAGCCCAACAAAGAAAACACTGTATCACAACACATCAAGGGCAAGGAAGAAACACAAAGTCAAGAAGATGAACCGCATCACAAACCAGGACTGATTATTCGATCAACTCGAAAAAATTACAACGACGAACAACCCCGCATCTCTCTTGGGAAGAAAGGAAGGGAGGCTGGTTGCGATACCTAATCCTGATTCCGGTTTTTGTATCTATGGTTGATTTTGATTTTTGTCCCCAATTTCATGATCAATCCATCTGCACCATCTGCATACCTTCAACATGGATGGAGGATTTCACTCTATGTACAGGTACGGAGGGAGGGAGGGAGTTCGGCGCGTATGTTTGCGGGTTTTTGATATAAGCAATGAAGCCAGGAAACAGGAAGCAGGTGATAGTGATGATGATGAATGAAGAATCGTGTATTTGAAGAGGCTGGTATCTATCTAGATTTGGAAATGGGTGAATGGCATTTGGCTCTTTTGGTTGTGTATGTGTATCATACGAAACTGTGATGTAACATTACAGATTGAGATATGATATGCAAAAACTACAGTTCCGTTTTATAATCAGTCAATCTACCTAATCCAAGCATTCACAAAAGCCATGGTTCTTTTTAATATGCGCACGTAAAAACCAGGGAATAATTCACGAACTGTTGTACAAAAAGGTTCATTGTAAAATTCGATCTTTCATCTCCCTCGCTCACTTCTGTCTCCCGCATTCCCCGATTTATTTTCCCTCCCTCAAATTCTATGCACAAAACAATGCTTTCCACCCGTCAAGACTTCCTTTACAAGAAATCTCCCCGCTTCATCATCTCATGTAGATCCCATTCATTTTCTGTCCCATCCATCTCCAGGCTCACACCCATCCAACAAAAGAAATAAGAGTTTGTATGCAGGTAGTTTTCGAATAGCACCGTTTCGAGTAGGGTAGGTATTCTTTTCTTTTCTGGCATCATGTATAGTTGGTATGAGGGAGAATTTAGTTCTTCTTTGGTGCAGATTGAACTTGGCCGGGGCCGGAGTATCCTTCGGAGGAGAGACCGCTGATGGGTTCGGAGTTTTGAGACTGTGGTGGAGAGTTGTTAGTTTTATATTCTTGCATATTTTGGATAGATTTCAAGCTCAAGGACGGAGAACCCGGTTGGGAATAAGATTTGTGAGATTTTCAAAATGATTATACATACTCTCAAGTATTCGTTTGTAGCCTCTTCCCACTCCTTGTTCATGGTAGATGGAGATCCCTTTGCGAATGATCTAATGAAGAGGAAAAGGGCGAGGGAAACACCAACTCCACCCATTGTGTATCCAAAGACCTTCCATCCTTCTCCTGGGGGAGTTTGAGCTCTTGGTCCGTGGGCGCCAAAGGCAATGTAGTAAGCTGTTCACATTATCTGTTAGCTTTGTTGTTTTGCTCAATCTCAATCTCAATCCCATTTTAATCTCCATGTCCATCCCAGTATGTTATGCCCTCATAACCTCCCACCCAAAAACTCATACGATAAGCCGCCTTCAATTTGCAGCTCTCTGCAGTTTATCCAAGCATATACATCCTTCCCAAAACCTCTGTGTACAAAGCCCATTTCTCCCACCAAAAAAAGAGCCTCACGTACCAGCCTTCTTCTCTTGCAAAGTCAACTCGGCCCAATTAGTCTTCATGCGATCCCTCAAGTTCATCCAAAGCTCGGCTTGTTCCTGCGGTGGCATGCCCTCCCACCTCTTCTCGATATCGGCCAAAGTAGGATTACTGATCGCATGAGTGGAAGCACATCGAACCTGGTTTCGAACCGCAGAGCCCGTGGCGGCGCGGACAATTGATGTGCGGAGCATGTTTGCGACGGGGAGGATTGTGGGTTGGAGATTTCGAGAGGTGTTGTGCGTGCGGACTAGTGTTGATACAAACTGTAGAGGATAGAGCTACGTACGAGTTGGAATGGGTGGTGGAGGATGGGGCATCGGATGACTTTGGAGACGCTTTTCGTTAAGCGAACTAGAGGTCCACTTTGTAGAGTCACGTGGTAAGTTTATATCTTCAAATTTGGGGGATTTGAAGTTCTCGGGATATGAACTATTCTATTTTTCTGGGCTAGAATAAATGATGAGTTACTAAGCTATGATTGAAGCTCTTTTGATCTCGTTGCAACTTCATTTGGTTGAAATTCAACGACTCTTGGGTTCGACGAATCAACGTCATCCGGTTGGCCATGATTAAATTTTTTGCACGTTTATAAATTATCAAATATCGATTGGATGGTGAGGCCGCTGCGAAACAATATCGGGTATTGGGAGATTGATATAAAAAAATTGCTCTCCAAAGAATGGGCTGTAGAATTGGACATCTATTTGTATGTATACACCTTGAGGTACCCAGCCATGGTAATAACGCTTGTTCGTTGTGATATGAGTAGATGTTCCGATTGCGAAAAAGAGGCAAAAACAAAACAAAATAAATTTATTTACCGACGGCATGGACGATAAGATCCCGCGGTTGGCGAATGCGGGCATCATTTGTGAGCGGGTGCATTAGTACAGCAATAATTTGGATATCCCGGCGCCGTCTTCGACTTCTATACCACATCTATCATTTTCAATATATCTTCATCAAATACTCTCGATTGTCCATAGATCGATATCAATTCCGCACCTTGAGATGGGGGACGAGTTCTTCAATTGTGGGGTACATGGTTGCTAGCCTGAGATATATCCTTCGACAGCTGTGCTGTTGACCTGGGGTGCAAAGGCCTAGTGGCCATCGATCTTGTCTCTGAGCTGAGCGAATGAAGTAGATTGTCTGAGACCCGAGTTTTGCTTTGAATATGATAGAGGGGGTTGAGGAATGAGTTTAGATACTACCTTAATAATAACAAGTGTGTAATGTATGTACAATTTGCTATTGATACCTTTTGCAGAAGTGATCCGGTATGAAGTTACAGTCTCCAGTCTCTCGAGAGTCTCTATTTATAACATTTTGAGTTGGCGGCATCTGCTTATCTTCTCTATCTGAGAACTGGAAGCTTGAACCACAGATTGTGTGAGAAGTGCCTCTTCACGCGTGCTAGAGGTACATTTGCAAGCGGCGGGGTGCGTTGGCTACTGCTATCTGAGTAATTGGTAATCATGCATAAATAATATATACCGGTATGTGCATTTCGGTCATCTCCAGACTCCAGGGCTCCCATTTATACTTTGTACAAGCAAACAAATCTTTTCTTGTTCATGGTTCTAAAAGCCTTCTCTGCAGCTGCTTTCTCAACTCTCAACCCTTAAACATAAGCTTTTCACAGTTTGGCCACCGTACGTGGGGCGTTATCAGAGAAAAATAGAAAGTCCGAAAATGAGGCCGTAGGAGAATGGAGTCGAGAGGTTTAATCCCTTATTCAGCAAAGCTCAAGATCTCATCCTCACCAATTTACGAAATGATACGAAATTGATTATGATTTGAACTCTTATTATAAAGCCATTTGACTCACTCAACAGTTATCATGTAGGAAGAAAATCTCGAAGCAGCACGTGTATTAAGTGGGTGGAGTGATTCATTGTGTTCAGTATTGGCTGACACAATACGGTATGAGAGCATTGCTTTGGACCCAAAGACCAAGAAATCCGAGAGATGGTAAGATCGGGTGAGATTGGGAGATTCTGGATGTCCGGATGTATAGGCTTTATGTATCTTGTCTGTAAATACCATGAGAATTAGATATCCCATGAGAGCGAGATCCTTTCGCCTCGGGTCGCGATGATACGGATAAACGTTAATAGGTTGTCTCACTCTATATACCCGAGTGACCGTGGTCTAAAAGCCAACGAGCGACTGCTTCCGATATATCAAGATATCAACCTATGGTATTTGAGGGGTTTGAGGGGTTCGAGGGGTTCGAGGGGTTCGAGGAGTCGAGAGATAACTTTCAGGAGTGGTAACGATATTGTGAACGGCTGATGTGGGAGTGGCCGTTAAGTACCTATCTGGACACCCGTTTGGATACTACCCAGTACTTCAGAGCTCAACACCTAACAAGCTTGCTTACCTAGTACGTACAAACAGAAGCTTACAGTGCTCCAAGCTTAGTAGTAGGTGCGGTGCCTAGGTAGGATATCCCGTATGTCCCGTATGTTTCATATGTCACCTCTTGTTGGACATGAACTAGAATAGAAGTAAGTTCAAGTAACAGATGCCATGAAAGTCTCTCATTCATCATACGACTCACGAGCAACAAAACCTTGTAATGACTAGGTATATGAAAAGTAATCTTCATACTAGATCCCTAGCTGGGTACTAACTTCGACCTCTCAAACAAAACCAAGAAGAACAAGAGTAACACGTAGGTACTTCTCACTTCAAGAAGGGAACACTGACTTTTGTGATAAAACTTGGCGTTGCAAAGTACACACCTAGCACATACATACCCAGCGAGCCCAGCATTTGAATCATCATTTGAGGGACGAGGGGCGAGCGAGCGAGGGAGGGACGGAGGGATCCAGAAATCCAGATCATCCAATACACGGCACGGTCCACACACACGCATTCCACGCTAAAGGAGGGGCGCTACCGTAAAATTGATTCAACAATGACCCCACCAACTTTATGTCCCTCTCCCCCCCATTTCTTCCTTTTCCTACATAAACAATCAAGTCTCCCTTTACAAAATCATCTCAAGAATCATCAGAAAATCACACAAGTAAGTATTCTTACATCTATCTCATCATAACCTCAACGCCGCCGTCATTTCTTTGTGATCTATAGCTTCAACGGCTATATCCGAAGCTATATTTTAACCTTCCCAAGCTATCTTGGTCAACAAACAAGTCGCAAGACCCTTCCTCAAAACATCTTCTAACATCAGTTCTAGAATGGCTCCTACTAAAGTTGGTATCAACGGTTTCGGACGTATCGGACGTATTGTCTTCAGAAATGCTATTGAGCATGATGACATTGACATCGTCGCTGTCAACGACCCTTTCATCGAGACTGAGTATGCCGTAAGTTTCCGCTATCGGAGCTCCCGCAGATATTACGGACCCGAGCTAATTCGTATTATGTACAGGCATACATGTTGAAGTATGATTCCACCCACGGTCAATTCAAGGGTGATATCAAGGTCCTTTCCGATGGATTGGAGGTCAATGGCAAGAAGGTCAAGTTCTACACCGAGAGAGACCCAGCCAACATCCCATGGGCTGAGTCTGAGGCATACTACGTTGTCGAGTCCACCGGTGTTTTCACCACCACCGAGAAGGCCAAGGCACATTTGAAGGGTGGTGCCAAGAAGGTTGTTATCTCTGCTCCTTCTGCCGATGCCCCAATGTACGTTATGGGTGTCAACAACGAGACCTACAAGGGTGATGTTGATGTTATCTCCAACGCCTCTTGCACAACCAACTGCTTGGCTCCTCTCGCCAAGGTCATCAACGATGAGTTCACCATCATTGAAGGTTTGATGACCACCATCCATTCCTACACCGCCACCCAAAAGACCGTCGATGGTCCATCCGCTAAGGATTGGCGTGGAGGACGTACCGCTGCTCAAAACATCATCCCATCGAGCACCGGTGCTGCCAAGGCCGTCGGAAAGGTCATCCCAGAGCTTAACGGCAAACTCACCGGAATGTCCATGCGTGTTCCAACTGCCAACGTCTCAGTTGTTGACTTGACTGTCCGCATTGAGAAGGGTGCTTCTTATGATGAGATCAAGGCCGTCATCAAGAAGGCTGCTGATGGTCCTCTCAAGGGTAAGTTACTCTATTAATCTTTCTTCCATTCTAATTTACTAATCGTAATATAGGCATATTGGCTTACACTGAGGACGATGTTGTCTCCACTGACATGAACGGTGACAACCACTCCTCCATCTTCGATGCCAAGGCCGGTATCTCCCTCAACGCAAACTTCGTCAAGTTGGTTTCATGGTACGACAACGAGTGGGGTTACTCTCGTCGTGTCCTTGATCTCCTCCACTACATCTCCAAGGTTGATAACAAGCAGTAGGAGATTTCTGCTCAGTCTTTAGGAAGTAATCAAGACTCTGACCACCATTTGGCAGAGAATTCTTGAAAGGCAAGCTCTGATACCATGTCAGATGCCAAATTTCATTAAAATGAATAGTTATTACCGAGTAACGATGAATGTCTTATGATAGCGTTAAAAATGAAAACAAGCTCAAGAACATAATACCGTCTTCATCATGTAAATTTCTTCCATTTGATACGTGCAGGCAATTGATGTGATGTATGGAATCAAGATTTCCGATTGTCTACCAACTCTTCCCACCCTTGACCTGATACCATTTCAGAAGATATGCTGGGGTAGAATCCTATGAACAGTAGTGCCACCGGTACACTTGAATCATGAGGATAAAATCAAATATTTATATATTAACATTTCGACTTTGAATTATAACAATAGACCTTTCAAGATCCATCTCAATGAGAATTAAAAAGAGCAGAAGCTTCTCGATTTTTTTTAATTAATCTCATATACAAATAATGACTATTCGATTTGATGTCAAATTTGAAAAGAATAAATTTTCTTGATTTCCCGATTTTTGTCATGTTCGAGGGGAAAATTATATGCTAAAGTTCTTGCCTATAATTACAGGCCACAGCATTTCATCGGCTCGGGTGCTTCGATTTGGAATCCATCTCTCCTTCTTCTGCATCTTCACAAACAATACCCACCCATAAACTTGTGAACTCGACATTATTATATTTCAAGACTCGAGTTAAGATTCTTTCCCAACACCGGAACAGCCAGCCATTCTCTTACATAATTCTCGGCTTCTAATACTGGAGAGCTATTGTTTCTTTCGGATAACCGCTACATCCCATCCCCATTCATCATTGTCTCGGTAAGTTTACATACTTCATTTCTGTTCTCTATCAACAAACATTCCTCCACTCCATTATCGTTGTCTTGCGTGGATCAAGTAGATTCAAGAAACCTCTATAGAAGTACAACTCTGTTATTGGATTTTACAAAAGAGGTCAAAGATCTTATGTCTGTCGTTCTCTCACATGTCGGTCACATGACTTTCCTCTTTTTTCTCTCTATTCGCCTATGATCGAAAACTCATTGTGGAGTATGGAAATGGAGTACTCTTAGGAGCTTCTATATGATGATGTGTATATACCGTTTATCAGGCTGCTTCTATATCACATCCCCAGGTATCTCCCACTGTTCTGAAGTGGTTCCATCCACAATGATCCAGCTCCAGTCTTCTTTGACCGTACCATCCAATTCCATCGTACTTTTCGGCGTTGGGTGCCTCTATCCTTTTAACTTTGCATGATAAACTTACAGATCTGCTGACGGTTCATAGTTTCTTGACCTCAACCGGCCAGACCTTCTATTCTCGCAATATCAAGAAAGACTGCGGCATTTCAGTATCTTGGTGTTTCGCACGCAAAGAGCTCCTTGCCTGCTACTAAGGCTTGAGGGCTTGTATTTCAATTTAACGTCACATAATCCTGGCCTCTTGCATGACAGGTCATACCTTTCAGTCGTTTATTTTCAACATCTACTGAATACCAGTCCTGGTGACGGGTTGGTTGGTCAATAATGGACACATTAGGACCCCCGTTACTGCAGTCAAGCAGTGATCTAGATATGCAACCGAATACACAGGAACGTATGCATTTACAGCAGCAACAGATTCAACTACATGAAAATGTCCATGCAGGATCTATTAACGGGGCGTTGTCAAACGGCAATGGTAATGGATTTGTTGACCCCAGGGTCCTAACTACTACGGAAGACATGGCAGTCACCTATGATTATCATGACCCAGAGGATGAATTGTATTCATCATCATCAGAAGATACAAAGATTGTAGCTATTCCACGCCAAGCATATCTCCCTTCTGGGGTTTGTTATGACGATCGAATGAAGCTTCACACCTCTGGAGACTATTCAGATAACACGGCACACCCAGAAGACCCTCGGCGGATAGAACATATAATGAGAGCCTTTAAAGACGCTGGCTTAGTTTATACTGGTAGTGCGGAAAACATCGAGAAAATTCTCAAGGAATCACCTAACAAGTACATGCAGCGTATCATGGCAAGATTAGCCCGAAAAGACGAGATCTGTCTGGCACATACTGCATTTCATTATGACTGGGTTGAGTCGTTGTTAAGCATGACCTCTGAAGAAATGCGTGAGGCGAATCAAAGATATGATACTGGCCGAAAGTCTCTTTATGTTGGACCGTGTACTTACGACGCGGCACTTGTCGCCGCAGGTGGTGCGATAGAAACTTGCAAACATGTTGTTGTGGGGAATGTAAAAAATGCCATTGCCATTATTCGACCGCCTGGACATCACGCCGAAGAGAATGAGGCGCTAGGATTTTGTGTCTTCAACAATGTGCCTATCGCTGCTAAAGTCTGTATGGCGGATTATCCTGAGATATGTAGAAAGGTATTGATTCTGGATTGGGATATTCACCATGGAAACGGCACCCAAAACATGTTTTACGACGATCCAAACGTCTTGTATATCTCAATCCATGTATATGACAATGGCCAATTTTATCCCGGTCAACCTGATGATCCTAGCCTTCCCGACGGTGGTAACGATAAAGTCGGTCGTGGACCCGGCCTTGGCAAGAATGTCAATATCGGATGGGTCTCTCAAGGTATGGGAGATGGAGAGTACATGGCAGCATTCCAAAGGATTATCATGCCTATTGCCCAAGAGTTCGATCCTGACCTTGTCATTATTTCTGCAGGATTTGACGCTGCCGCGGGAGACGAACTTGGAGGATGTTTTGTAACACCAGCCTGCTATTCTCACATGACCCATATGCTCATGTCTCTCGCTGATGGAAAGGTGGCAGTCTGTCTCGAGGGAGGTTACAATTTGGCAGCAATCTCACAATCTGCTCTTGCAGTCGCCAAAACTTTAATGGGAGAACCGCCAATTAGACTTCCTATTCCACCGTTGAATAAAACCGCTGCCGGAGTTTTCGAAGAAGTCAAGTACTATCAATCTAAATATTGGCAATGCATGCGATCTGGAGTCCTTGACTACAAGGACCCAAGATTCAGAAGAGCCCTTCGTCTTGATGATCAAATCAGAAATGGTCAAAGCAATACGTTGAAGACTAACTACCGGATGACTTCCTTGTGGATTCAACGGCATCAACTTGCAAGATCCTTTGATAATCAAGTTATGGTTACCCCATATATCAATCTTGCGAAGAGATTATTGATAATCGTTCATGATCCGTGAGCCCCGTCTTCATTTTTTAATTATTGATTTCTGCTGATTATTCTAGCCCGACATTGCATGCTTCCCCTGATCCAGACACAGCTCAAATCGCCTTACATAACGCCTTTATTGTAAGTCTCTCCTTTCATGCTATATAGCATCTGCCCAGCTAATCAATTTAGGTCGAACCTCCACTTAATGATTATATCGCCTGGGCTATTGAAAATAAAATTGGTGTAATGGATATCAACATCCCGTTGAATACAGACATTGCCCCTCCTGCCACCAGTCGTTACCCATCCCACCCTGGTATGACTGAACTCGAAAGTCAAATGAAAGATCTTGTTTGCTATATTTGGGACAATTTTATTCAACTTTATGACTCAGACAATATCATGCTCATGGGCGTTGGCGACTCTTACCTTGGTATTAAACAGTTACTCACCTCTAGAGATTGCCGTAATCGCCTTGCCGGTATACTTGCCTTCATAACTGGTAGTCTTAGACCTGTCAAGAGTGAAACGGATTCAGCTCTAAGTAGTTGGTACAAGGCAAATAGTGAGATCTACGTTGCTGACAAACATGCGTGTTGGAATGACGAAGAGAGCATCAGGAAGGTCAAGAAACAGCGGTTTGGAAAGGTGGTGCGAAGTGAAGAGACAGACTTGGCAAGTATGGTACAGATACATCAGCCGAGGGCAAAGAAGTGGATGCTTGCAAAGTTTGACGAGAAAGCGGTAAATGATCAGGTTATGGTAATGGGGGATGAGATTCCGGTGACTGATATTGATGGTGGTAGCATGTCAACAATGATGGAGACTCAATTTTTGTAAATAGCCTGGGGTAAGAGATATCATTTCTTGCTGAGTTAGGAGTGTAGTTGACAAATTCTCGGGGACGGAACTCATGAGCGATCGTGAGCTATTCTAGGTGAAAGGTTGGGGAGAATATCTAGAATAGTGTCAACAAGCCTATCCCTAAGGGTGTGCTGCGCATTTATTGCGGAGGGGATTATTAGAACTTGCAGGACATGCCATGTTTTGGACGTTGCATATTTTTGGGGCGTCTTATCAGCTTATTATAGTCAAGATACAAGATAATCTAAACCAGTCTTCATTTTGATCGCACACTCTGACATCTTTAAGATGCTGAAATCTCTGATATCGAGTTGGCTATTCTTATAGAAGTCTGCATTTCCTTCGATGGCTTCACAGAAAGAGCTATCTACATTTCTATTCCTAAAGCTAGTTTCATTCATATGCAATGCTGATCCATATGCATCACATTTATTCAAGCTATCATAACCCACTCAAGCACAGATAGAGAATTTAAGTGTCTGATTAATATAGCTCGCTCTTGTGTGGAATAACATAATACCAAAAATGGGATATCTAGTATTCGAGGTCCCCGGTTGAGATGCCTATCCTAATTATTACATAAGCGAGGTAGTAGACATCATCACTTCCTTCCTGACTCCATTGCGCTTCCTCTTCTGCAACCACGTCCATCATGATTTATCAATCAATTTTCGGTCGGGTCAGACTGTCATTTTTAAACCGCAGAAGCTTTAAAGATGCCACCTGCAGTTCATATAGCCCCAATGTCGGGGTGTTCCAAATCTAGGTTCTTATAAATCGGTTGCCGTTTGGTGGTTATCTATCCATCACTGCGGTTCGCGCTCTTCAACAGCGCAGCATTTATCACATACCAATAAAACCAATTTTTTCAATCGACTTTTCTGGTAACAGAGTGGGAAGCACAGAGTTAGAGTAATTGAAATTTAACAACAGTTAATCGGAAACCCCTCCTACAGTGGAAGGCTTGCCCGGCATAATAGAGAAGTGAGTAAAGTCAGAACCAACAAATCTCTTAGCATGAATACTGACAGCTTGTCAATGTTTTCAGAACACTTTCATCATATAAAACAAAACAAAGTATCCCAGGCATACCAAGCACATATCTTCAACATGTCCATCGCGAATCTTTCAACCGAGTTACTACAGAAAATCTACGGATATTCCGACCTTACTGATATCCTCCATTTGTCCCAGATATCCAAACAGAATTACAATGCGCTACGCGGACGACGTATGCCCATCATAAGGCAAGCATTGGACAATGAATATGGTCCAATTTCTAGCCTGGTGAAGTTGGTCATGAGTGATGATTCAACCAAAGGTAGAAGCATTGTCAGCACAGGAGCACGCCGAAATATTGCCGTCGATCGCATTATACAAGTTCCAGACGAGCCCCATCTCTCGAACCAGTTATTAAGCAAAATGATGAGATTCGGCAAAGCTGCTTCTAGATTTGTCGAGATATTTCCACAATTCAGGTGGCGTCTTGATTACCAGGACAGAAGATTTCTTTGGCTTCATGAGCAGCAGCGTTTACGACGGGCTATCTACAATTATTGGACATACGCCACTCTTTTTCACGATGAAATCTACGTTCAATTCAACCCTGGTCGTCTCTCGGGCTCCCGTGTCATGGGCTCTTGGTTTCTTCCTCCGGTTGACATCATATCTGACCCTCGCTTACGTCTGATAGAATCATTTGATACAATTGAAATATTGCAGCTCAATGAGTTTCTACAGCATGTGGTCAAGCTCATCGAAATAGATCTTTTCCCATCGGATTCGACCATACAATCTCAGTACAATTTTACACCTAAAGCAATTGAGAAGATTGCGTGGGGACATGGTGAATGGTACCGGTGTCTTGTGAGAAATCTTCTGAGATATGACCCTTCGGATTTCATCTATCTTTACGACCAAACTTTTACCAAGTCGGAAAGGACAGAATACATTTTTACCCGGGGGTTTGATTTTAGTCGTCACAATACTCCGGCAACTTTAGGTGATGCAATATCTATCATTACTGAGAGAAGACGCAATGCCGCCGGTAATTCACACCTTTTTCATCCTGTGATGTATCAATCTGGCGATTCGTGTTTGCAGGGGGATAATTTGAAATTTGGTATTGTTGATCATCCTCACGAGGAAAGCTATTTGAAGGATCACCCATTCAACAATGATGGGAAAATCGTCCTTTCTACTGATGAGAATGAATAAGGGTTTCGGGTAGATTGGTGGCCAGTGTTATGTTACTTGTATCAACCATTTTTCCATCAATTACATTTCCAATTTTGGGTTACGCTTGGGGCTTCTTGCCATCAATTGCGAGAACAATATTGTGTTGTGTGTATCTGTCTATAGAACTTTTGTGACCAGTCAACAAGAAGGTTGGCATCAACGACTTTATCAAGATCAAATCTGTAATCAAAGTGAAGCATGTGTAGATGTACTCTGTCGATACTTTCATATACTCGGAATATGCTCTAGACCCCCCATTCACGTGAATTGTTTTGAATCGGACTGAACACTCCGACTGAATCGAGCTTAAGGCCATTCTAGAACACTCATTAGTGCTTTTCCAAGTTTCCAAATTCTCACGACCACCACAGCCACGCACAAGTCTAGTGCCTAACCTCCTTTTTGTTGTCGACAATCTTTGTCGCTGGTTTACAATCATGTCAATTTTTATTATCATTACAACCATCTCAGCTTCTCCACAAGTTTAATTGTTATATAATAATCCCACACTCGCCACTGATGTTCTAGTCTGGCCGAATACATACTCTACTGCGGCTTGTGCTTCAGGGTGTTAGTTTTGCCTTTCCAGACCTCCATACATTTTGATACTGTGGCAAAGTTTATATGCAGAATCAGATCACCAGCTGAGATTCGAGGCATCTTTATTTGAAGAAGTTTCTTCAGCTTGTAACATGGATCGACTTACCAGGCTGGAAGCAGCACGTGAAGGGGGTGCAAAGAAGTCAAAACGGAAGAATTTCGATTGGATATCAGAACCACGGACAATGGAGTTGACTCCATTTCAACAATTCACCGTGGATGTCGATTGGAAAAAAAGTCCCCTGGGCCCGATGAATGGATGGTCGAAGCAGCTTCGTTCTATGGTACTTTTGTGTTTTGCAGATCCAACCCCAGTGAGTTTTTTCATCTGCAATTTCTGACTTTGACAGTTATTTTGTTGTCGTTTATCAATTTTATACGTGAGAGACGTCATAGCTGATCTAATAGATAGGCCACAATTTTGTGGGGGGATGATAGCACCATTATTTACAATGAACCATTTAGTCAACTCATTGGTGACAAACACCCTACATCACAGGGGCAAAATATATCCATTGGTTTTGCAGAAGTATGGGACTATTTCGATCCACTTATCGAAACACAAAGGGAGACAGGCAAGGCACTTATTCAGCAAGATATTCTTCTTCTCATTCATCGACATGGTTTTGAAGAGGAAACCTACATGACTTATAAGTTCATACCGATCATCTGTGAGAATGAAGGACATGTTATTGCTGTACGGACAACGATGGATGAAACTACACGCCAAGTAATTGGGTACAGACGAATGGCCATTATCCGTGCTTTGGGCGAACAATTGTCTAATCCCAAAGCATTCGTGATTTATGGAATCATTTGATCCAGGGACTTGAGCTAGCTGATAAGGACGCGCCTTTTGGCTTGTTGTACTCAGTTTCTGAATCGTCCGAAGCATCAAGTCCACTTCCATCAACTATATATTCACCATCTGTACCTTGCGTTTTCGAAGGCTCTGTTGGCATACCCGAAGGGCACCCCATTGCACCTTCGGGCTTTGATTTGGCATGTGACCAAAATTGGCTAACTGAGCCATTCAACCAAGCTATGAACGCAATGGAAAGCGTATTAGTGTCTGTGGATCCCGAGATGAAGCAGAGATTTGATGGGATACAGTTTCGAGGATTTGGCGAACCAACTCATGTAGTTATTTGTCCGATAACGGATTCCAAGACACAAAGTGTTCTTGCTTTTCTTGTCATTGCATTGAATCCTCGATTATCCTATGATAAAGATTACCAAGAGTGGATACAAATTTTGTCAAAGCAGGTAACGACTCCTCAACTCTCTGCCATCATACTCCGCCAGGAAGTTGAAAGGCGGTTGGCACTTGCGAAACAGGAGGCATTAGACAGGGAAATTCTATCACATCAACTTACCGAAAGTGAGAATAACTTTGCACGATTTGCAACGCGTATTCCTGTTGGGCTCGCAATCCTAGAGACTGATGGAACTGCCCTGACAGCAAACGATCTCTGGAAATCTCAGACGAACTTAGAGGTTGGAAGCTCGCAGGTCAACTGGGAGAAAGTGTTAGTGGCCGGAGAATTCGAACCAGTAATGAGAGCTTGGTCGGAATGTGTTGAAGAGAAAAAATCTCTTACATTTCAGACACGAATTGATAACCCGTGGAGAGCCCCAGAGCTAACTACTGATGGTGAAGAGCAGTGGACGGAGACTCATCTCTTACTTACTCTATATCCGGATCTGGACGATGAAGGTAATGTTTCTACGATCATGAGTTGTATTACGGATATTACAGAGTTGAAGTGGTCGGAAAATCAACTACGAGCGAAGATGGAACAAGCCCTGGAAATGAGGAGGCAGCAAGAGAGATTTATTGATATGACCTCTCATGAAATGCGCAACCCATTGTCAGCATTAATTGGTTGTGCCGATGAAATCCTCTCTTCACTGCATGAATATGAAGATTCAATTAACAAATGCAGTGGCCTTGGGAAAGTCCATGAATCAATATCCACCGAACCACCCACGCATCTCATAAGTAGTGCCATCGAAGCTACAGATACAATCATTTATTGCGCCATGCATCAAAAACGCATCATTGATGATATATTGACTCTTTCAAGATTAGACAGTAACCTTCTTGTTGTTTCCCCCGAACCTTCTCAGCCGGTACA